TATTTTCCTAACACCTACTATTCTAAAATCCGCTCTCCCGCGTTTGTATAACGGGAAAATTTATTTGTTTTGTATAGGATTTTCCGTCTTGCGTTTGTTGCTCCTTTGAATAGAGGAGTTTATCTTTTCCGGAAATTTAATACCCATGTATTTTATTCTTTAATATTTTATCTAAAATCACCTGTGAATACGCTAGTTTTTTTCTATAATGCAGGTAGTGCTTAGAATTCCGGTAATTTCTCGGTAAATTACGCGGAAGATTTTCCTCTTTTTTTCATTCCATTTTTCGTTCCTTCGGTGCACAAAAGCGTAATTTTACAGGACCGACGAATGAGGTCGAAAATGCGAAAATTAAAATTTCACGGCGTAATTATCGGGATTAATTTACGGAAGCCTTTAATGTTTTTTATTGAGCGCTTCAAAGTTCCCTGCTTGAAATATTTCTTTTCGAACCAGCAAAATGATTTTTTTTAATTACCTCTCTATCGGCTACTTGTGAAGCTTCTCCTATTCACCACCTCTTAAATAACGAAAATAAATTATAGTTTCTTCTTACAAAAAAGTAGTACATGTATCGGTGTATAGCGAACGAAACTAATCGATTTAGCGAACAGCTAAAAAGACCCGGTTTAAATATTTCATTCCGGGATAGATGGAGTTTTTAGTTTATCGCGAAACGGAGACCGCGGATAAATCGCTATTGAATCAATCCACAAGTCTCCAGGAAAAGTATCCCAGCTCGATGCGTTATTCACAAACTTTCCCAACAAGAATTCCCCTCTCTATATCGCCTCCACGTTCGCATTATAAACATGTTTCCACTCGTAAAAGTCGCAGGAATTTATTTCCACCCGCGACTCGCACGTCTCAAGAAACTTCCACATTTCCCACTACACATTATTATATATTTCGAATTCAATTCGAGACACTCTATACACACACGATAAGGAAATTAAAACCAAAGCGGTTACCGGTATAGGTACCTTTTTTTATACGGAGAAGGAAACTTGTCGTGGTGTTTCAATTACCGCCGGACAAAAGCATTTGTATTCGACATGTTCAATTACCGTCGAGCATTCGAGAGGCGTCTTTGTTTAGGGCGTCGAGAGAGCTCGGTCAGTTATAATTGTATGGGGGGGTTAGGATGAAGAGAGCCCGGCCTGTGCTCTCCCATTCGGATCGGATTAAACGGGGCCGAAGGAGGTCGAATTCCGGTATATATATAGAGCATAGAGAAAGATAGATTTTGTCTATGATATAGAGTTTAAATTCCAGTTTCTTCTAGCGTCTATTAGAGCCGAATTACTGTATAGTTTTCAAGGTGTAGTCGAGAGTTAAGGGCGACATTTAGGGACATTAAGGTGACGGGTCGTCGAAAGTACCTTTAAAAGGCCATTCAGATGGAAATATGTATGTGGGTAAGTTCGAGCAATATTGACGTAAACGCGCATTCCCGCTTCCATTATGCTAAAACTCTCCGCAAGCCGTCGTTCGCGATGCACATACTAATATATTATACCTTGTATAAAGGGGACATAATATCTAATTCCAACAGCGACTACATTTCAACCTACCCTCGTATACACGCTTTAATTAAAACACAAATTTCTGCGATAGTTTATTTTGCAATTATCTAATTATACTGCTCCGCAAAAGTTAAGGAACTAGTTCACAAATATTGAGATTAATTTAAAACTTGCAGGTTTTTTGATCGATAAATTTAGTAAAAATTTAGTAAAAATTTAGTAAAAATTGAAAAGTTGTGTACAAATATACTGCTCCACAAAAGTTAAGGAAGTTCACAAATTTTGTGGATAATTTTAAAATTGCAGGTTTTTTGATCGATAAATTTAGTAAACATTTAGTAAAAATTTAGTAAAAATTGAAAAGTTGTGTACAAATATACTGCTCCACAAAAGTTAAGGAAGTTCACAAATTTTGTGGATAATTTTAAAATTGCAGGTTTTTTGATCGCCAAATTTAGTAAAAATTTAGTAAAAATTTAGTAAAAATTTAGTAAAAATTGAAAAGTTGTGTACAAATATACTGCTCCACAAAAGTTAAGGAAGTTCACAAATTTTGTGGATAATTTTAAAATTGCAGGTTTTTTGATCGCCAAATTTAGTAAAAATTTAGTAAAAATTGAAAAGTTGTGTACAAATATACTGCTCCACAAAAGTTAAGGAAGTTCACAAATTTTGTGGATAATTTTAAAATTGCAGGTTTTTTGATCGCCAAATTTAGTAAAAATTTAGTAAAAATTGAAACGTTGTGTACAAATATATACTGCTCCACAAAAGTTAAGGAACTAGTTCACAAATATTGAGATTAATTTAAAACTTGCAGGTTTTTTGATCGATAAATTTAGTAAAAATTTAGTAAAAATTTAGTAAAAATTGAAAAGTTGTGTACAAATATACTGCTCCACAAAAGTTAAGGAAGTTCACAAATTTTGTGGATAATTTTAAAATTGCAGGTTTTTTGATCGCCAAATTTAGTAAAAATTTAGTAAAAATTGAAACGTTGTGTACAAATATACTGCTCCACAAAAGTTAAGGAACTAGTTCACAATTATTGAGATTAATTTAAAACTTGCAGGTTTTTTGATCGACAAATTTAGTATAAATTCTAGAGGTAGGGGCAAAAAATCCATGTAGATATGAGAGAATACATTTAATTTCGCATATTTGAAAATATGGTGATTAATAACTTTTAAAATAATCGCAAAATTTGCGAACTTCCTTAATTTTTGTGGAGCAGTTTATTATTGCGACAAATTCCGCATAATAAAAACCAAAATCGGCAAAAAAAAATTGTCTATTTAATTCAAATTCCGACTTATCGAAACGCCATTATGTAGCGAATTTTATCAACCGAATACAATATTTCCCGAAACTGAAACGTACCGTTTTATTAAATAATTCATTCGAATCGATAGAACGTGCGCGAACGAAATTTGTTTAATTGTAAATCGCGTCGATACATCCGGAAATTCGTTTTTAATTTACCTTTCGTAAACAACTATTCGAGGAATTTTACAATCTGTTTATACCTCTCATAAAACGTCTAATCAAATCGCAGATCGATGAATGAAATTCTCGGGGAAATCCCGGACCGTTCGAGAACCGATTATTAGCTCTCGTCGCCTTATCGGACTGCTGATGGTCCTAATTCGGATCGTTTTATAATCTCATTTAAACCCCAACGTGTTACAATTACCTCGGGGAGTTACTAAATTCCTAATTGTTCCCTCATAATATCGGATTCGATTCGTCAATATTTGACTGCGAACCGATTTATTATCCCAGGATATCCCGTCAGATGAATTGAATAAATCCATTTTTTTGAGTTCATTATTATAGCGAAAATTAATCGCGATAGAAACCTATCAGAGACTAAACTCTCGCTCTACACAATGGAGAGTCTAATAAAGTAATCACACTGTAGATAATACAGAGAGGATTTTATAGTTAGTTTTGAGTTATTCGGCGTGATTGGGCGATATTAAATTCCCTTTACGTCGGTTTAACGGCCATCCTATATGGGAAATACAGATGGAATATAAATTGTATATTCGTTGCGCGAATAAATATAAATGTTTCGTTACGGGGTAAGCGATTTCTCATCAATCATTCCAACGGTATAATCTAAAACAAATTCGCTCCGTCGATCGCACTTCGACGATTTTATATGCGTGCATATAAACATTTTTATGCGATTCGTTCTAACAAATAACGAATCCATCAATCGAGGGACTTTTGTCAAAGTCGCAGTGATTTACGATTTAAATATTAATAGCCTCGCATCAATCCGGTGCTGGAATAAGTTTTGGAGGATTTTATAGCAACGAATCGATTCAATGGGGATCTTCCTTTTGCATATGTATTGTGTTATTTCCGGATATCGAGTTTGTACTGGGATATAGAGATTAATAAAACCGCCGGCGGATCGTACACGAGCATGATTATTTCAATGTTGCAATTAGAACGCAAACTTCTAATTAGAATCAATATTAGCTTCGTATAAATTTCCGTTTAATGTTCGCCGGGGAGCGAAGCTAAATTGCATCACTTATATTGATAATCTTCGCGGAGTTTGCAGGGATTTAGGCTCTATATGAAATGCCACTCGAATCAAACGCGAATTCGACGATCCTCTCCAAACGATAAAATGAATTATTAATCGCCCGAAAAGTTGTCTTGACGGAAAATTAGCAGGTGAAAATTATTGAATATAAATCACCGAAAAATTGAATCGGCTTCGCGATATCTGGAAAATTATATACCTTATGCGGTTCGGATGAAAACCGCCCGCGAACGCCGTTACATAAGTATTTTAAAATTGAATCATTATCTGAAGCCATAAATTTCCCGCGATTTATGATGCGAACGTAAGTTCATGCCAAATCGGAATTTATGAGTTTTCCGAGTTTTCCGAGTTTTCCCCGCGCGCGCATTCCCGTCACATCTCGCTTTTTTTATACACACATATCCCGCGGATTTCGTCTGTAGAGGCAATTTCTCCCTAATAAATCACCATAAAAAAATGAATATTCTATACGCTAGTTTGTTAAATAAATTCCCATTTAAATTTGCTCTACTCATGCATTTTTATTTATGCAGCGAAGCTAATTAGTTAAAATGGCATCTTTGAGATTAACGATTCAGTTGTGGTGTAATAAACACTATAAAAGAGTTAATTACACGTTATTAAAAACACCATTCGAATTCTCGAACCGAATGGGACAGAAAAAGGGATCGAGCGAGTCGAGTCAAAAGGTTGTGTTTTTTTTTTATTTTTTATTCTACAATCTCCGAGCGTAATGAATTGATCGCTCTCCTAGAGTTTTAATAAAACCGGTTATTCGAAAAGCTTTCAAGCCGAATTCGAAATTCGTCATTTTCTTTATAAACGCATAATTACTAAATTCGCTCGATTTTTTTTTGTATTTTCATTCAGTTCGAATAACGCGGAAATCCCGCTATAAAACGAAAGCTTACCATCTTTCCCCGCAGCGGCGTAATCCATTAGGAAAACAACGAAGGAAAGCACAAACATCATCCGGGCGATAAGAGTTTGAAAAAATACTCCGACCATCGTGGGATACTCAATACCTAACGTAGCAGAAATAATAATAATAAAAAATAAAACCCGAAACCTTCCACTGAATAAACTCACTTCACTCAAACAACTTCAATCAACACATCGTCGGGAAACATCTTACATCCGTTTGTATCCGCGTAGGAAAACGCTGAGGAAAAACCTGATCGATTTCGGTGTGGAAAACCGGATGGGTCCGCGATCAAAGCACCCCGCACACTAACCGGGAACGGCGCTTTTCCACCCCCTCTAGTTCGAATGTATAGAGGGAGGAAGGGCGCATGCTTGACACAAGGCCCTTGTGTACCTGTTCGACGGAGGAACACGAAACACGAATTATTTCGCTGGTTTTTGTTTCTTCTGTGTTCCGCGATTCCGCCGAGCCTCCCCTTAGGCTTCCTAATCGAATCCGAATATTCTGTAAGGGATACTATATCCGGATGTCTTGGGAAAAGCGAGCTCAGTTTGGGCTTCGGATTCCATTAACCAAATATGTAGTTCACTTCTAACAAAAATAATAATACTCTATTAAAGTTCTGTCAGACGAACTGTCATTAATGTCAATTTTGGCAGTTTGTGTATCATGGAACGAATTACTGTAATTTAAAGTAATGTGGAGTTCCTGTATTAGTGCAGTACTTACGAGTAGTTAATGTATTATGAGTGAAGGGTTAAAATCGAGGTAAATTCATCAAATCTCCACCAAATTCTCCACCAAAATAATAATCCGTTCTTTTGGAACAGTCGTTACAGCATCTCTATACAAAAAAACGTTTCCGAGCTCTATTAAACTTCTGTCAGTCGAACTGTCATTAATGTCAATGTTGGCAGTTTGTGTATCATAGAACGAATTAGTATAATTTAAAGTAATGTGGAGTTCCTGTATTAGTGCAGTACTTACGAGTAGTTAATGTATTATGAGTGAAGGGTTAAAATCGTGGTAAATTCATCAAATCTCCACCAAATTCTCCACCAAAATAATAATCCGTTCTTTTGGAACAGTCGTTACAGCATCTCTATACAAAAAAACGTTTCCGAGCTCTATTTAACTTCTGTCAGACGAACTGTCATTAATGTCAATGTTGGCAGTTTGTGTATCATCGAACGAATTACTATAATTGAAAGTAATGTGGAGTTCCTGTATTAGTGCAGTACTTACGAGTAGTTAATGTATTATGAGTGAAGGGTTAAAATCGTGGTAAATTCATCAAATCTCCACCAAATTCTCCACCAAAATAATAATCCGTTCTTTTGGAACAGTCGTTACAGCATCTCTATACAAAAAAACATGTCCGAGCTCTATTAAAGTTCTGTCAGACGAACTGTCATTAATGTCAATATTGGCAGTTTGTGTATCATCGAACGAATTACTATTTTTTTGCCGTAGATTAATGCAAAGTAATGTGGAGTTCCTGTATTAGTGCAGTACTTACGAGTAGTTAATGTATTATGAGTGAAAGGGTTAAAATCGAGGTAAATTCAAGTCTACTATAGACGGTGCACCGGAATTCTCTACCAAAAATAATAATCCGTTCTTTTGGAACAGTCGTTACAGCATCTCTATACAAAAAAACGTTTCCGAGCTCTATTAAACTTCTGTCAGACGAACTGTCATTAATGTCAATTTTGACAGTTTGTTCGAAGCGAAAAAAAAAACTTCTAGAAACTATAAATTCCTATTTTTTTGCAGTACATTAAAGTAATGTGTATTAAAGTTAATATATTTTCGATGCAGCGTTAAAAACTAGGTAAATTCGATGCGGCATTCCCGCTACAGAGAAGTCTCTTTGACGAGCGAGAACATTTTTCTGGAATAATTCCATCATCTATCTGCCGGCGTGTACAATTAATTAGAATGTAAACTGTAAGAATAGACGAATTTAATTAGGCTTTCGGCTTGTTTGCGCTCGCAACAATGTTAATTAGACGTCGGGCGTGTGTTCGAGTACGCGCGGAACTCTCGCAAATGAACTAATTACATTTCGCGTTAAATCTCCGACATATTAGTTTTTCCGGTTTATTTTCGATAATTAGAATTTCGCAGGGCGAAAAGTTTTCCATCGGACGGAAAACGCGAAAACGCGCGGCGTTAAATTTTATTTAATTACGTTATACGGAAAAGGACGCGAGAATTCGCACGCGAAATACAACAACGTGATAATCAAATTTAAATTCTGTCTAATATTGTTCGCATTCGCGGCGGTTTGTTATTGTGATATTATGCTCTATGTTAAAATGTAAAATTAAAACTTGAATAACTCGAGTTACTAGCGAGTCTCCTCATTTATTTTTATACCTAAAAATTCATCTCTCAATATGTATCTTTTCACATCAACCGGTCTCAAGATAGACGGTCAATGCATTTTTAATGCTCGAATTTTTTCCCAGCGACTTTCCCTAAAAGCTTAAATGGAACTTTTCAATTCTCCTCCGCCTCTCCCCATGAATAATACAAGTATGATCGATGTCGGGCAATCGAAGCGAGGACGTCCCGGAAGAGTCCGGACGGACATGACTAATTCGCCGGCGAAAATCGATTTTTCCTCGTCGGGAATGCGGAAAAGCGCTTTTCTAACCCTATTAAAAACGATATTTCTTGGCTACGCATCGACCTAATTTCGAACGGTTTTTCCATTACGACGTTGGGTTTTTTTTCAACGTAAATCTAGCTCTAGGTTAGCTCCTTTAAAAGACCTACGGAGGTCGAAAAAATTTAGGTCGAACGACTTACAAGCCTTCGAGTGATCTTATAGTCGATATCTCGTCGCTTCCTCTTGTATTTTGTTAGAATTTTCATCGGGATTTTCCCGTCTTCGCCTAGTTAAATCGTAATAGTAGCGAAAAAAAAAATGCTGGGTATTATACAGCTTGACCTACACGAGTATATATGACGTGTGTCAGAGCGTGTTACTTTTAATTTCCACGGGGAAATAGAAAAGCGAATTTTTCTCGCGGCATAATGCACATTTTATATTCATCGGGAATTGATAACGCTGGACACTTGACAGAGATTTGACGGGAAAATTGACCGGCCGGGGGATTTCCATTTCGACTTAATGCCCGGTTTTTCGGTCGCTTTTTTTTAATTGGAAATTTGATTAATTAGCCGAATTGGGTAAACTAAAAGCCGGACAAAAACGAAATTATAAACGATATTGCAGTTTTAATAAAACCGGAGAATTTTCCATTAAGCGAGTTTCTAATAGAACGAAAAAAAAACCAAATAATAAATTCAAATCCGCGTAAACTATTCTAATTAAAACGGATACAATTAAAATTTCCAATAATGGTCATCGAAAAATACTCCATAGCTACTATAGAATCGCGGAAATCGGATGGAAAACTCCCCGGAGAGGTTTCCCGCCCGTCTTTTTCCCTTTTCCCCTTAGCATTAAAGAAGTTTGTTCGACTTTTTAATTCCGGCGCAGCAGCGAGATTAAGAATAAGTATACATCTATTTTGCGTTTCATTTAAACTACCGAAGTGAACGTTGCGAATTTAATTTTCTGCTCGCCGAGTGCAAATTCAAATTCGATTTAACTCGAAACTTTCCCCCGGACCATCGCTGAAAATCTACTTCGGCTTATAATTTTCCATTAAAACATTTATATTACCTACCTGCACTCGAGGCACCTACTCTTAGTTGTGTGCAATTTATTTTATAACTTCTATTTAGTAATTAAATTATATATATATAGAAGGAAGAAAAATAATTAATTAAATGCACTATATTCATCCGGCGTTAATTTCGGAATATTCCGCGTTATATTCGCGAAACAATAGAGTCTTTTTTATAATATCGTTATGCTTTTGAAATCGTCCGTTTTAATTGAAAACGACATCTCCTCCGACGGCGGAAAAGCGGAAAACCCGTCCGGGACCGGCGACAACGCCGCCGATCTAATAAAGGCGTTAATTATTTTTGAGGATATTTCATTATTCCGCATTTTACCTTCGTCTTAATATGGCTTGACGGGTTTCTTTCTTTCATTCGAACCGCCCCCGTTGAATTCAATTCGACCGCCACCCCGACTCCACTCGAATTTCATTCCCTTATATTCTTACCTACTTCTTCTACACCGGGATAATTCCCCCGAATATTCATTACTCGTTATGCTACAATAGATAATTGTACGAATTGTTTTCCATCCGAAAAAAATCTAAAAAATAGTGGAGATTCGGGGGATGAAAAATGGGTGACTGTAATGCATGCTTGCAGGGACTTTGGGGTAATTTTTCAACGGAGAGGACGCGAGTGTTATGCTTATAAATTATCGAAAAGGTGATGGATGTCCGTTCCGGGTGATATGATATTTCGTCCGGTTGTTATTTCCGGATGTTCCAGGGGTAATAATTCGCTTTCGGATCGCAAAACAGCCCCTATTTTCGAATAAAGTTCGCGTTATTTGACGAACAATTAAACATATCTTTCCGGGAACGATTTTAGTTCGTGGAGGTTGAGGAAAAGAATGGAATATACGCACGACTCGCGTTTAATCTCTCCATAGTGTTGAAATATTAATTTAAGCTCGGAACAAACAAAACCTTTATCCCGATTCCAATTAGATGGGATTACGTTAGTAATAACGTTTGCGATAACATAGTTTAGGGGTGGAATTTCCGCTCTCCTGCAAATGGAATTCTCCCAAAACAATCACGTTATATAAAAAGGAGGACGTCGCCGATTACATGGCCATGTATTAGTTAAAACACGCCGAAAAAAAAAACGTTCTTTCGGAATTAAAAAGGGATAATACCTCGGGGGGTTCCCCAGCGAAATTCCGTGTTGCGCATTAAAGTTATGATGGAAGTTTCCGCTTAAAAGATACGCATCGTCCGAATTCGCTATAGCGGAAAATAACGTTTCGTGTCAAATAATACAAATTGGAGTTGTCTGTCCAAATCCGATCCTACGTGAGTTCTTTTCCTGCTGGGGCTTTTTCCGTTTTTATTTTTTGTTCTCGTTTCCAACGCGCGCAGACGATTATAAGTGAAAAACGGTAGTACCTTCGACAAATTGCGTTGTTGCCAAATTAGCGAATTTTTCTGGTTATCCCGGATATTTCCGGTTAATCCGCATTTCCATTAGCTACCGGGTCGCATCCACAAAACCATATTTAACCGTATAGTGCAGGTCGATGTGACTTATGAATTCCATTACGCCGTCCTGCAGGCAAACGTTCATTATTCAGAATCGGGGCCGAAATTGCTCTTCTATATACGGAATGTATAAGCAT